GTCAGACCTGGCTGACTGCTCTTCCCAGCAGATGTCTGGAAAGTTCAGGTCACCCATGATGACCACGTCCTTTGACATAACTACCTCCATGAGCTGACTTAAGAATTCCTGGTCTAGCTCTTTCTCTTGGTTGGAAGGTCTGTAGTAGACCCTTACTGTTAAATCTCTTTCCCTTCAACTGCCTTGTATTCTAACCCAGAGCACTTCATAGTGCCCCTCCTCTGACTCTTTGCTAATTGATGAGGATGTGTATTCCTCCTTAATGTAGAGCGCCACACCCCTGCCTTTCCTCCCTGTCCTATCCCTCCTGTACAGCCTATAGCCCTTGATATTCACTGCCCAGTCATGCGTTGGGTCCCACCACGTTTCAATGAGCCCCACTATGTCTGGGTTGGTGTCAGCTAGCAGGAGGGTAAGTTCCTTTTGCTTGTTTGCCATACTACGAGCATTTGTGTAGAGGCATTTGAGGCCTCCTGAGGATGTGTGCACTGGCCCCCTACTTTCAGCATTGCCCTGGCCCCTGTTGCTTACCTGGGTGTATGTTCCACTCGTCAGTCTAGGCTGGGCTGTACTTGTGGGTGTTGCTTGGTTTGGCAGTCCAAGGCTTCCTCTGCTCTTGTTTTCCCCTTCCCCCAAAGAGCCTAGTTTAAAGCCTGCTGGAGGAGATCTGCCAACCTAGAAGAAAACAGACGCTTACCTTTAGGGGAAAAGTGGAGCCCATCCCATCCAAGCATGTCTCTTGTCATGATGTGCGGGTCGTTGTCGAGGAAGCCAAAGCCCGCCTTGAGACACCATTCCTGAAGCCACCAGTTGGTCTCTGCAATGCATGTCACATGCTGTCTTCCACGTCCGTTTGCTGGTAGGACAGAAGAGAAAACCACCTGTGCACCTACCTCCTTCAGCACGCCCCCCTGTCTTGTAGTTTGTAGGTTCTAGACTCTCTCCATCTCCTGCCTCCCCGTACCCAGTCATACTTAGTTTAAAGCCCAATGTAGGAAGTCAGTCAACCTGTAAGAAAAGAGACTCCTACCTTTTGTGGAGAGATGAAGCCCATCACATCGCAGGAATTCCCCTGCATAGAAGTGCAGATCAGGGTCTAGGAAGCCAAAACCCGCATGATGGCACCAACTCCGGAGCTGCGCGTTGACTTCCCTGACACAGGTGACATGATGCCTACTGCAGCCGCTGATCAGGAGGATCAACAAGAAGACCGCCTGTGCCCCTGTCTTCCTAAGCCTGGCTCCCAGAGCCCTGTAGACACTTATGATATGGTCTGGACTACTCCTGGCCACATCATTTTTTCCCACATGGATGCGGACCGTCGGAAAGTTGTCGGAGGGCTGGATGAGGTCAGGAATTCTTGCCGTGACATTCCTGATCCTGGTTCCAGGCAGGCAGCAGACTTCATGCACTGTGGGATCCGGATGACAGATGGGTCCCTCTGTTCCTCTCAGCAAGGAGTTGCCCACAATGATGACGCAGAGTCTCTTCTGCTTACCTGGCCAGCCCCCAGCTTGCTCAGTGATGGTGGCAGGCACTTCCAGTGCACTTTCCCCCACCGCACACTTCTCCAGTGCAGCCAGGGCCTCATATTTGTTCACCAACTGCACCAGGGCAGCTGTCTCTGTGCTGGAAGGTCTGGGCCCTGAGATGACCGTCCTCCACTCACCAGCATCTGCTTCAGGGCATTCCCTTGCAGCATCCCCACCAGGAATCTTGTCCTGCAGAGCATGAAAGTAGCCATCAATCTCTTCTTCAATTGCTGTGATCCCCCATAGCCTGCTCACCTCTGCCTGGAGTTCCCTCACCTGTCCCTCCAGGAACTCAATCTGGGCACATGTAGGACAGGCAAGGGAACCCCCAGCCCCCACACTACCCCCAGGCCTCAGAGGTCCCTCTAGGCAACCTCCCCAGACAGGGGGCCGGGGCACTGTTGACCCATTCAAAGGGCCAGTCTGGGTGGAGGCCCCACAGGAGCTCCGGGCTGGAGGCAGCAGCAGGGCAGAGGCCCAGGCTGCGCTCCATGTCACCACCCCCATAGTAGCCCTCCTCCTCATTCACTTACCTGAAGTCTCTGTCAGAAGCTCCCGTGTACTCCTGCCCATGACTGGCCTGCGAGCTGCCTGCAAACTGCTCCCCTGTTGGCAGTCTCTGTTCGCTGTCTCCCTGGTCATAGGCTCCCTGGTCACCTGGGTGGGTCTCCTTTTATACCCTTCTGGGCTTGGGCTGACTCAGGCCAAGGCAGCAATCACACAGTCAGCAATCCCACAGCAATCAACAGTCACTCAGCACTCACTTCCAGCTTCTCAGAGCACACATGTGCCAAACAAACAGACAGTCAGCTAAACCAAAGGTACAGGCAGCTGGATCACTTACCTTTCCTGGGCAGAATCTAGTGCCTGGCCTGGCTTCTCTCCTTCTTCCTCCCTCCCTCCTGTTGCCTCCAGCAACTACCTGCAAACTGCTCCCCTGTTGGCAGTCCCTGTTTGCTGGCTCCCTGGTCACAGCTGGTCTTTTAACATGCAATGTTAAAAAAAAGGTATCAAACTGCAAGGAAGTGACTAATGGACTTCTTGAAGGATCAGCCTCTGGAACAATCTTGTTTAATATTTTCATTAACAGTCTTGACACCGTAGCAGGTCCAGTGCTGGGGCAGCAAAATCACCCCACTAGGTATCTGCCTAAACCTTGCTTGCCCCCTCTGACCTCTCAGGTTTGCACCCGGTTATCTCTCCTGCCATACCTTTATGTTATGATTGGACATGGACAGTGCCCCTAAGGCAGGAGAGTTGTGGGTGTTAGACCCTTGTTTGGGCTGAGGCTCCCTGGCCTTGGTCCACTTTACTGTGGCTGGGCCCCTCCACCTGAGGTCCACTGTCTCAGGACTGTAGGCTTCTGGGCCCCAGCTCCAGCCTCACCCTTGTAGGTTCTGGGCTGTTTGGCCCCTGGTCTCACCCTTGTGGGCTCTGGACCCCTCAGCCCCTGGTCTTGCCCTCATGGGCTAAGGCTTGCACCCCCAATCCTTCCACTAACAGCAGCACTAGACCCTTTGAAGGGTCTAGGACCTGGGGTGTCCTTGGCACCATCCTCGGTGGCCTCCTCCACCCCTATAGCCACAATCTGGCCTTCCAGTATTTAAACACAAATGAAAAAATATGAGCATCTGCTCTCAAACAAAAGGTTCCTCATCCTGGATTAACACCACACTGTGGCAAAACCTTACCTCGATCCTAGGCAAGCTGTTTGAGAAAATTATTCTGGCACACATCCATGAGGGGCCAGCAGGGGACTGCATGCTTAGGGGCAACCAACACGGGTTCATCAGTGGCAGGTCCTGTCAGACCAACCTGGTGGCCTTTTACGATCAGATCACCAGATCATTAGATGCAGGGGTAGCAGTGGACATAGTCTTCCTGGACTTCC